AAATAGTTAAATAAATTCTTTAATTTGGGCTAATAATCTGTGTTGTGCTCTGACCACAGAGTCTCCCCTGCTCTGCACAATACCAAAGGGACAGGGTAGCCCAGGGAAGCAAGGAAAGGCCAGACCCTTGGGTTGCCAACTTTCCAGGGATCCTCCAAAGATTGGGGATTCTATCTCCAAACAGGGAGATTCGGCCAGAGGGGTCTCACTGTCCCTCTAAAAAGGCAGTGATGATTCCATGAGTGGGGGCAGCGAACTTAATGAGTGAGATACGCCCATGGGATGAGGGTTGAAGGCAAAAGTTGAGTTGTAAACTGGAGCCCGTTTCGCCACAATACACAACCAAGCTTGGTTCAGACAAGGGAATGAAACCCTTTGCAGGCCTTTTTGAGGAACTCATTGGGGCCAGTCCTGCTAGGGTTGCCAGCTCCAGGTAGGGAGATTTCTGGAAATTTTCTGGTAGAGTCTATGGAAGCCAGGGTTTGGGGAGGGAGAGGCCTCAGCTGAACAGAATGCCATACAGCCCACCTTCCAGAGCAGTTATTTCCTCCGGGGGGGGGAGAATTGTCTGTAGTTCAGTTGTGATACCTGGTGATCTTCAGGTTCCACCTGGAGGTTGGCTGCCCTAGGCGTAGCAGTCAGTGCTTCACAGCAGGGTCTGCTAGATCCAGGTTCTTGCTGTAGGAGCTGAGTTGGTGATTTTGGACCAGTCACAGACTTTCAGCCTAACCTACCTCACAGGGTTGTTGTGCAAGTCAAAGGGGGGGAGAATGATGTAAGCTGCTGTGGTCCCCATTGCAGAGAAATACTACTTTTCCTCCTGGGAAACCACTGTTGCCAATCTCCAGGTGAGGGCTGGAGATCACTCAGAATTACAACTGCTCTCCAGATGGCAGAGATCAGTCCCCCTGGAGAAAATGGTGGTCTCTGTGGCAGTCAGGGCTTCAGAGCACGGTAGAGGCTGCAGTTGTGTGTGTGTGTGGAAATGGAAATCTGAAGAGAGAGGGGGAAATAAAGGTAGATTGATGATTGGCTGGGAAGGAGATAGGGTTGCCAACTCCAGGTGGAAAATTCCTGGATATTTGAGGGATGGAACCGGGTGAGGTTTGAGGAGGGTGGGCCCTCAGACAGGTATGATGCCATAGACTCCACCCTCCCAACCAGCCATTCCCTCCTGGGGAACCACTGTTGCCAATCTCAGGAGAGTGGTGGAAATCATTCAGAATTACAACTGATCTCCAGGAGGGAGGGGGGAAGAGATGCAAAGCTGAAATCATAGGGGCAGATAATGGCAGGGTGATGCTTGGCCGGGAAGGGGACAGGGTTGCCAACTCCAGGTTGGGAAAGTCATGGAGATTTGAAGGGTGGAGCCTGGAGAGGGTGAGGTTTGAGGAGGGGTGGGACCTCAGACAGGTACAATGCTATAGACTCCACCCTCCAAACCAGCCACTTCTTCCTGGGTAACAATTGTTGCCAATCTCCAGGTGAGGGCTGGAGAGCACTGAAAATTACAACTGCTCTTCAGGTAGCAGAGATCAGTTCCTCTGGAGAAAATGCTGGACTGTGTCATTATACCCTGCTGAGGTCGCCACAGCACATTGACGCTGAGTGCCCAAGGCCTTGGCACTCTCCCAGAGCCTCTTTCTAGAGCTCGTATTTATTTCCACAATGGGTCTTATTCCTAGTCTAATAATAATGATAAATACTGGAGAATCATACCTACATTCCAGCTTTCCACTTTAGAAGTGGAGTGGGGGGTTGTAGCCCCACCATTCAGGACTGAAGGAAATATCACTAAAGGCCTTTGATAGACTGTAATAGACTCACTGGGGCTAGCTGACAGTGTAGGTAGAGGAAGCTTGCAGGTGGTTGGGTGGGCCATGTCAGAGGCAAGGAGAGGTCCGTGTGCTTTGGATAGACATGGTTCCCTTACTGCAGAGAAAGGGAACTCTGACTTACTTTTCCTGAGGACTTGACGCCCTTGATGAGGCAGAGGAAGACGACAACCCAAGAGACACCCAGGCAACCCAGCAGAGGAAGCCGCACCTCACCCAAGTTCCCAATGTCATCAGACAACTTCAACACGTACCGCCTGGGACGGAAGACAGAGAGAGTCGTAAGGTGGAGTCATTGCTCATGAGTGCCTTACATCTGTCTCTAGCAAATATAGCACACCAGTTTGCACTTTCTTCCCACAGCCTGTCTCCGAAAGCCTAGCTTTGAACAATCTTAGGCACTGCAGATCTACCATCAGAAATGACTGAGCAATGATTTTATTAGATGATTAGCTGGCTGCTATGAACAAACTGTTGGGAGAGTGAAAGAATCTTCTAAATCAGTAAATGTGTACCATTTCATAATGGCATCAGGGTTCTGGATATTACTAAGCCCAGAAACTGTAAGGGAAAAGAAAAGATTCTAACTAGAAACACTGTGTATGGACCTTCTTAGTGTGGAGGAAAGTCAGAACACAGGTGCTGTTTGGGTCAATCAGGAGATGACTATGAAAGGAAAATTCTCAGCATTTATCTAATTTTCTAATTTCTTGACTCAAGAAACAAAATATATTGAGTTTTAACCCTCTAAAATGACAATGGTGCAAATTCATTCTCTCATTGGCTCCTTCCCTTGTTAAAGCAATAAAAAGCCTTATAAAGGCTTGCCTCTGACAGCAACTTCCTAGACACTTATTTCACATGCTCTGTCAGGGATTTCCCTGTCTTCATGCTGATGTTCATGAAACTTTGTGTTTCAGGCCAGCTACAATCACAGGTGCTGCATGTCTCCATTTGGGGCAACATCTTTCCAGTAGTGAACCTGCCTTAAAACTACATCCACATCAGAAGAACCTGGTGATCCAGGAACTGTGGTATGGGATGGTGTCCTTGACATTGCGGGGATGGGAGTGTACTAGGGTCATAGTCTGTCTTCTGTCAGTAGGGGAGTCTTCAAGGCAGTGAGCTCTCCTGTGTGAGGCAGGCCCTCCATTCCCCCTGAAGAGGTAACTCCCTCTTCAATCCCTTATTGGTTGATCCCCCTCCATCATCACCTCCAGTATTCCTCACTGGGACTAGTGCGCTTGAGTGTCTGGTTAAGCATCTGTGTGACGTTGAGTGATGACCCAGCTGAGCTGTTGGTAACGTCCAACACACCGGTGCAATTGGGTGTATTCCAGGGATTGTTGCAGTACGTCCAGGGTAGTACCCGTGTCATTGATGAGAAGAAATAATAGAAGGCGATGCATATCACAACATTGTAGTAGATTCCAATGTAGGTGGAAACAACCATCATACCATATCCAACACCTGGGGGAAAGCAAAGTATGGGAGCAAGTGAGAAGTAATAAAGTGTCTAAGGACCTTGAGAATGGGGAACTAGATTCAAGTCCAGTAGTACCTTAGAAGCCAACAAAACATTTTGGGCTATAAGCTTCCAAGAATCAAAGCTCCCTTCATCAGTACTGCTATCTGATGAAGGGAGTTTTGACTCCCAAAAGCTTATACCCCCAGAATCTTCTTGATCTCTAAGGTGCTACTGAATTTAAATCTAGCTCTACTGCAGACCAACACTCTGAGAATGGAGAGTATGCAATCAAAATATAATACACTGAGTATTCAAGCATGGAGTTGGGCAAACACAGAGCCTGAGGTGTGGTTGGCCAACCTGCAGCATGTATGCCATAAGTTGTATAGAAACCTGTGGCTTGTAGTGTGCCTGGACAGGGGCAGGAGGCATGTGGGTCTTGTTATGGCATAGAATCAGACCTGCATTCCTGCTCACCCCTCTCACACATGGCATCAATGCTTATTCCCTGGCTCAATAAACCAGAGGTAATAACACACCAAGGCACATTGGGAAAGAAGGACTATATGCACTGTAATCTACACTAGAGGGCTACTGTCTCATGTGTACAACTGGAAGGTGTAAGCAAAATGAAAGGCAATGACCTGTATTAGACATTATGTATTTTATTCTTGAATTATTCTTGCATGGAGGACCATCACATTAACTGTCTGAAAAAACAAATTTATTGGGATTTTAAAGGGTTTGGTCCTAACAGGCTAACTCTGGTCAGCTAAAATGCAAATGCAGATTGAGTCACTAGTCCTTTAATCAGGCTTTTTCAGTGAATGCCCTTCTACACCTGCAGAAGTCTGCATGCGAAGGCAAATGTGTGTACAAGGGCCTTGCCTGCAGATCCCACAGGGAATGGCTTTGTGGCAGTGGCCAGAGACAATACCCAGCAACCACTGTCTCTTACCTTTAAACATTGGGCTAATCCTCCAGACACCAAGGCAGCCCTGGCTGGCAAACTGTCCAAAGGAGAGTTCCATGAAGAATAGGGGGATCCCACAGAACACCAGCATGATGAAGTAGGGGAACATGAAAGCGCCTAGGGAGAGGAAGAGAGGAAATAAGCAGAAGTGGAACCAAGAACACAAAACACAGGTGCTCTGAGCTTCATATTCCGGGTGGAAAATAAATTCCCTGGTTTGTGCTTTGGATTCCCGGTCTTCCCCTGCAGGGGGAGCTCCATGCCCACTGAATACCTGCTCCCCTTTTAAGAGTGAACCTTGCTGTGTGAAGTTGGTATTCGGGATGGAAAGCCCATTCTCACAACAATCTGGATGCAGGGAGCTATGGGTTCCCGATCGTTCTGGAAGGTTACTGAATTCCTACCCCAGTTCCCGCAACCACTGCACCAGACCCAGGCAAGGGCAATACGATCCCCAAGCGCTTGGGTTCTTCTAGCCCATCGTTCACACAATCTGCCACCCGAAGCCGGTGGATATACGCACCACCTCCATTGCGGTAGCAGAGGTAGGGGAAGCGCCACACGTTGCCAAGTCCCACGGCGTAACCGACACTTGTGAGGACGAACTCGATCTGGTTGCCCCAGTTGCCGCGTTTGATGTTCTCGTCTCGCTTCCGCGTCTCGCCAGGCACAGCACCATTCTGCCAAAAGAGGACAGTCAATGACTGCGACGAGGCAGGGGGAGCCTCAACACCGGCGCTCCGGGCCTCTGGTTCTCCTCTGCTGCGTTTCTAGGCGAGCGTCCCCCGCCGAACTCGCACCGTGAAGGCGTGGGGGGGGGGGGGGGGGGGCTAAAAAAAGACGGCGGCAGCCAGATACCCAAATACTTATCATCACGCTCACATCCAGAGCCCGGCGGGACATTTCCCCTTCTGCTGCCCTAAGAAGTCATATTCCTTCCCCAGCGGGAGAACAATCAAGCAAGGGCGGGGCTTTTGATTGTGCTGATGGAGCCGCTACCCCCTGCCCGCCAGGATGAATGGTCCTGGGTCAGGCTGCAAGGAGCTGGCGGCTGCAACACATACAAAGCAGGGATGAGAAGAGTCAGCACAAAGGCGCTTCTGTTCTCCCTTCAGTGCCTGCACATCGATCTGGCCCAAGAACATCCAGGCATGAGGAACAGATCCCCCACCACCACCGCTGCCACCACAGCACAGAATATCAGAGCACTGGGTGGATCAGACCACCTAATCTAGTCTCCTATTTCCAGGAGTGGCAAAATGGGAAGGCCTGAAGCAGGGCGGGAAGGCCATCACCCGCCCAAGCACTTGGCGTTTGGGGGCACCCTGACCCTGGACAGTTATTTACTTGTTAGGCTTATGAATTTTCCGTCCACAAGGAAGTTCCACTTGATTAAGAGTCAGTGATAATGCCTATCTTCTATAATGGCAATTTGCTTGCCATTTTGAAATCTTCATAGCCACTGACCATCACCATGTGTTGCTGCAAAAGCTAAGGATTCATTGCGTGAAGGAAGAACAGATGAACACCTGGGCAAACAGGGACTTTTGGAATTTTCCTTCAGCTCTTGGAAAGGAATACAAAACATGTTTTCTGTCCACTTACAGTGAAATACTAAACAATTACACTGTTCAATGTCCATTTGAAGTTAAGGGGCTTAGAAAGGTGTAACCCTGTTTAGGATCGCACTGTATGGAGGCGTACTTACCTTCTTAATGTATTTATTTTAATCACCTTTTGTACTCATAGTCAAGGTAGTGGAAATGATTTTTTTGGTCCTTTCAACAAATTATTTATGTGGTGGCAATTCTAATCTATGGCTGCGGTCACACGGATCATTAGCCATGCTACAGAGATGGAAGATAGGCGGATTTTCCGGGCGCGATCACACCGCCACATCTGGGAAGCATAGAGCTCCCGTGGCTCACCTGAGGCTTCCCGCCAAAGATGCGGGGTAAAAAACTAGTACCTCCGAGGTACTAGTTTCCAGAAACCGCGGGGCAAGGGCAGGCGTCTGATCGCGTTTCCGGTGGCATCCAGCGCCCGCCCATGTCCCCTCGCAAAAAGGTTCCCCCCCCCAAGTCTCCATGGGATGCGCACAAGCACCCAACGGAGCATGCACACACTTTAAAAAAACACAACCCCATTTGCCGCAGCACCCCGCTTCTTTGCCTGTGGTGTGATCGGCACCTCCCCCCTAACCACGGGACCTCGAGGGACCTCAACAGGACGTCTGATCGCGCAGCCGCACATTATTTTGCTCCAGGGCAAACAGCCATGCTCCCCCCCCCCCATTTTCCAGCCCGTGTGACCGGAGCCTATTTTATTCAGATCTAATCTAATAAAGTTATAGTAGTCACTATGTGGAAACAGGTTGTTAACAATTAATTTGAATTTAAAGGGCATGCTCTTTTGCTTTGTTGCTCATCATACATTGTCAATGAAGACAGAAAATGAGTGGAGCTGTCAGTATTTCACAGAACAGTGAGAGAAGTAGGAGAAAACTAATGTTAAATTTACTGCACCACAGAAGGGGCACGGAATAGATCCTGGCAGTTCCCTTCTATTTCCTCACCCATGAGACAAGAGCAGCTAGTGAATCTGTAGTGACAGAATGCAGCCAGAAGAGGAAGCCTGACTCCTCATTAATCACAGCAACTCAAAAGGTCCAGTCTAATGCTGGGCCATGTGGAGAAAACTCAGCTTGGAAAATTGATATCAAGTAATCCAGGCCAACAGCTCTCGATGACAGTTTGCTTGCTACCTACCCGCAGTCTGAGAGAGCCAAATGAGGGCCATGTAGATCCAAATTGCCTTTGGAGGAGTATGCTACTTCCAAAACTGATTTAAGGCACCCAGCCCTACACAGAGCCCAAGCACCAAATAGGATAGGATGCCAACATCAAGCATAATCGCACTCTTTAGAGGGGGAAAATGATGCCTTTGTCCTCCTAGCTCTATCCTGGCACTGCTAGTTCCGTGCCCAATGACAACAATAGCAGTGTTCTGATCAAAGGGAAAAGGGATACCTCTCAACAGCATGGCCTGGCTGGCTCATGCGGAACATCTGCCTCTGCACTGAAGCAGTAATGCCCTGATGGTTGTTGCTCCTACCCTGCCCTTTGCTATTTGTTTTTGTTTTGCATGAGACTTCAGGATCGGTTTTCAGAATCCTGAGATTTCAGTCCCTAAATCCACTTCCCCATCTTGTTTATAAATCAAACAGAAAAATCAGATGCTAGAGAGGGCTCCTGAATCTCCTCTTTTCTATCCTTCTCTTATAACTGATCAGAATAATTAGCAGAATTATTGCAGTGAATGGAATGTGGGGGGGAGTGACTTATGAACTCAGGATTGTGAACAGGGAGGTGTGGCTGAAGCACCCTGGATGTCCCTGGTTGTGTACGTGGGTTGGCACCCTGAGACAACAACCTCATGCTAACTTTAAACACTCAGATCTTAACTCACCAAACAATACAAAGCTTGCATCTTCTGAGCAATGGATATTGGTATGATAAATAGAACTGCTTCCACAGCCTGTTAATAGCATCAGCAGGTGTTGCTCCATTAGGCATCTAGCCATAGCATCCTCTTCCTAAGAGAGAGGTAGGCTGGGACTTCATTATTGGAGAGGAGAAAATGTAGTGGCTCAGAAACATACACTTAGCCAAATGTATGGGCTTTCCACTGGCCAGCTAAGAATCCAGTGGGCAAATGCCTCCCCAAGCTTCAATAGGCTGAAGAGATTACCTGCTTTCCTGGCCCTACTGAGTGTCAGGACCTCTGAGATGAACAAGTTGCTAATGAGACCTAAAGGGCCACTTCGCCTGGGCCCTGGAGGTTCCTCATTCCCTGCCATCCTAGTGCACAGAGCACACTCCTTGTACACACACACACGTGGCTGCCCGCAGATTGCTAGCAATTGCTGTAAGCGCTCAGCAAATGGAAGCCGTCATTTCAGTTCTGTCTCCTGCTGCTGGGATGGGAGGGGGCTGGCAGCCGGGTGAGTTGTGCACCTAACCGTGTCATTCAATTAGAGACAGCAGCCGCTCTGGCACAGGGCTGCCAAGAAGCCATCTGCTACACTAACTGGGGGGACTGGCAGGGTGCAGGAAAGCTACAGAGCCACGCCTACTTGGACTGATCCCTGCTGTGATCCCAGCCAATTGAGGCCTGAGGAGGAATAGCTGATGGGGACCCAAACCTCCGGGCCTGATGGGAGCAAAGAAACATGAGTTGTGGTGGGAGACCTTCAGGACTGTCATTGAGGATTCGCTCCATCTGCAGGATATGTGGAGCCCCTGCAAGCACCTAGCCTCCTGTCCCTGCTAACTTCGCTAGAGATGACTACTATTGCTTGGGAAACACTGCTAGGCAACACTGGACAGTTACTCTTCTCCCAATTTCTCACCATAATCTGAGCCCTTATCTGCATCTGCTCTGACACGGGGAGGCTTGAAACTCTCTCCTCACCATAACTGAAATTTTGGAGGAAGGAGTGGGTGGCAAGTGAGTGTCCATTCCTCTACTGTGTATCCTGGCTGGGCCAATCATATCTGCAGGAGGTTTGGGGTAATGGGCTCTTGGGCAGGCATCCAGAGGCAGAGCAGTATCAGGGCTGGGTTGGTCTCAACAGTTCTAGGTGCTGAGGTGTCTGCCTAATGGGAGAAGTTTGTGCGTTAGGGACAGCGAATGTGGTCCCCTTATTTAAAAATCTCTAGCATAATGGACCTTCATAGGGATTTCCTCTCTGTCAATTTTGAATTGCTAAATGGGATATGGACAGATCTCCAGAGGGCCGTAAACAAAATGCTGTGCAGGTGTGTGAGAATTTTTGCATACCTGTCCATGAGTCCTCTGTATGCTTATTGCACAACTGTAGGCATGTGTGTGTGTGTGGATGCACACATACACACAAATGACACCATGGGGCTTGTCTGAAGAAGGAAAAGGCTGACAATCCAGGCTTTGCCAGCAATCCACCCTCATTTCTTATGGGTAAAGCTAAATCAGCCCATGAGAGGCCTTTAATCTCAGCGGCTAAATTGAGCCAAACACCCTCTTCCTTTCAGCAGCCGCCAGCCCATTATTACATAAAGGGCAGATACCTCAGCACCACCCTTCCACATCAGGCATGAGCTAGCAGTCCCGGCTCACTTGATTCTAGCCACGTTAGCACAGCTTCGTGCTGGGCCAGAATGCGTAGGGGGGGGGGAATTCCGTGTGTACTGCTGGGGAGCCACTTTCTCTGAAGCAGAACTGGTGATTTGGATCGAGGCACAGGAAGAACATGATATTCACTGGTGGCTTTCAAGAACAATTCATTACCAACGTTCTGGTCTCTTGATCTGTGTCCACCTGAAGGCAGCCTCTGCCTTTGGCTCTGTAGGAAGTAGGCAACAATAGAGAGCAGAGGCCCCTCAGTGCCTTTCACCATGGCACAGCAGGGAATCTGGGGCAAAGAGAGGAAGCGCTAGTCCCCCCCCTTCCCCTCACCCGCGGAAGCAGGGAGTCCAGATGCTGTAAATCAAGCAACTAGTGCATTCCCAGCTCCCCTCCCGCTATGTCCCCCATTCCTCCCACATTGATCGAGTCCCTGCCAGGTGCTTGCGGCCATTCATGTACCCTATTGCAGAGGCTCAGGACGAGATGTTCAGGCTGCAGCCACATGTGACTGCAT